CCTCCAGTGTCATCTCCATCTCACTAAATTTGCACAAACTCCCTCTCAAAACCATTGACCCTCGTTCCTGTGCTTTATCCTCTTTAAGGGAGGACCTTGCACTTACACCTACCTTGCTCCTCTCCCTTTACTCGCTTCCCTTGCGCCTTACTACCTTACTGAGTTACCTAAAAGACCATATATAAAGTCCGAATTAATGAATAATTATGAGAGATACAATTACGAAAGGAAAAAAGTTGCATAAAATTAGTTATACATACCGATAAAAACTTTTCATTAAGTGCATAATAGATATGCTTTGCTTTACTATATGGGTAAATGATAATTTGCATCATCTATTACGCATGATTTTTGGATTTGCAAGCTACAAAATTTTTTAGAATAAGTTGTAACCTTGCACTACATATAAAAACATATATTACAACCTCTCGTCGTTAGTCTCCAAAACTCACAGGAGGGTAGGCTCACAAGATAAGTACATGCCATCCGAAGGACAAAATTGGCATTTCATGCCCATGTGAAGAAATTTTATGCTTTGGGCTCCATATCTAGAAATCCCACATGATAATTTTTATAAAACGAGACATTATAATTAATATATTGAAGAGAAAAATAGAAAATTAATTTCACTAAAAAGATAAAATTAATCATGCTTGCTTAATCTTGGGTGTGGTCAAGTAATGTGGAGTTGGGTGAGTATTTGAATTACAAAGTTTTCATAAACATCGACGCGTCAAATTCCTCGACTCACCACGATTGCTGGTTGAAACCGCATTGTCCTAACCGACTCATCTTGAGAATCAACCTGCAAAAGCTCCGAGGGTGGGTCCCTAGAGTAGACAATTCGACGCTCAAGACAGATTACTTATATCTCAAACGTGTTATAATTAAGAGACTTATTGAGAGCTTAGGATCATAAATTGAATCTAGATCTCTTATTTGTAAGTAGGGTTGTAAACGATCCGAGCCGAGCTCGAGTTTAGGGTGTTCGAACTCGAGCTCGAGCCGAGCCGAGCTCGGCTCATTAGATAAATGAGTCTAAAATCGAGCTCGAGCTCGTTAAGGCCTCGAGCTCGAGCCGATCTCGAACTTTAACGAGCCGAACTATAAAAGTTATATAAAAATTCTGTTTTCGAGCCTTATCGAGCGAGCTCGACTAGTTTGCCAAACGAGCTTTAAATGAGCTCGAGCTCGGCTCGTTAAGGCCTCGAACTCAATCCAAACTCGAGCCAAGCTCGAGCCGAGCCGAGCCAGGCTTTTAATTTAACAGCACTACTTGTAAGACACTTAATGACTTACTCCCTAAGACACGGTGCTTCCTTAATAACCAAGGAGTTTGATCCTCCAAATAACTGTGTAACTAAAACTATATTGCTCTAATTTAATGTCCTACAGGCAGTGACAAGTCTAGGAACTTTATCGAGGGGGGGCCAACTAATAATAAAAAAAATCAACTGAAATAAATAAATCAGTACAAGTACCGACAAAATAAACATAAGAATTATATTCGAGTATCTAAAAAAATAACTTACGATAACATTGTGAGGTCACACCATTTCTCTTCTATTTTTCATGTTTTGAAATTGTTGCATGATATCCTCATTGCGTTCTGAAATATATCTTTCTCGTTGTATGTTACTAAACAATCATTCAAAAGCTCATCGCCATTACTTAGTGCACTTTTGATGATTTTCACTGCTTAAAAAACTCTTTCCACTATAGTAGTGGCAACCGGTAAAACACAAGTAAAACAATGAAAAAACATTATGTTTTCTTCTAGACACCATCTTTTCAGCAAGATCTCTAATATGGGTTACATTGGAGAAGTTTTCATCCAAGTACATATCAAAAATAAAATTCTGAATCTCATGGGTTTTTTATCGTTTTCTCAAATCTAAAGGGTTTTTTGTTTGGCATACTGTTCTAGCTTCCATATGATTTTATCCAGGTACTTTCTCTTTTCATTTTTTATATTATTGCAAATTTACTAAAATACTCTTGATTATTTTGAAAATTTCGGGGTGGTGTAGTTCCTCCCGTAGGCCTGCTACATCTCCGTCCTTGGCTACGAGCACAAAAGTGTCATTAGAAAGCAAAACTTCATATTTCTCATAATAAGAAAAAAATCAAAGTTTTTTTATCGCGAGCTATCAAATTTCGTGTTTGGCTGAACTGGGCGCTATTGCCGCTATAGCGGCCACTATCACCGCGCTATAATGGCAGCTATACGCTGCAGCGTTGCATTGTTGTCCCCGCTATAGCGCCGCTATAGCGCGCTATTTTATTGCAAACAGCTACAGCTATAAAAGCAAAGGCATAAAAGCAAATAAGTTCACAAGTCACAATTCACAACCAGCCTCCAGCCATAAAGTTGACTATGTTCACAATTCTTAACAAAACAAACAGCCGTGCATGAAGGCATCTAGCACATAAGCATCCACAATTCCACATTGGCAGCCAAGGCATCTATAGCAATGATCTAGTAAGGACTGTATGGTTCATCAGCTACATCCTCAGAACCAGAACCAGATAGCATATCAATATCATTATCATCTTCTCCATCAGAAGATGGAGATGACTCCTCATGCTCAAATGTAGGGAACCGTTTTCTCTTCTTGCACTTTAAGGTTCTCTTAGTTCTTTCTACTCCTTGAGGTGCAGCTGCAACTCCTTGTGATAATGCTTTAGTTTCTTCTTCCTGCTCTAAATCTCCTTCTGTTGGCTCAAAGCCAGTGCTCGCCCGCAGCCGCCGCCGAAAAGCCCTACGCGCAGCTGCCGTGGTGAAGACTCGAATGGACTGCTGCCCTGCTGAATGACTAGGGTTCACTTCAAGCCTTGTTGCCTAATTGGGCTGGGCCACTTTTTTTTGGTAATTACAGTGCCACATTGGTTGTTTTTGGGCAGGCCAGCTATAGCGGCGATTTAGCGCGCTATACGCCAATAGCGCGCTATAGCGCAGAAATGCAAGATTGTGTCGCGTTAGTTGGTTTGAGCCGCTAATAGCGCGCTATTTGTTTCTTTGAAAAAAATTAAAAAAAAAAAAAATATACAACACATGCTTTGTATTCGAGTTTTTGATAACTAAAAAAGAAAACTGATGAGAAGAAGCATATATATATGTTGAATAAAGATTATTAAGGACCATGTAAAATTAAATAAACCTCATATGTATATATATATCGCAAATTTACAATATGGTGTGGTGAGAATTAAAATGAATCCAGCGGGATAAATAAAATAAATCAACAAATAATGCGAAACCTAATCAATGACTGCTATTGTGCCTGGACTTGGAGCCCCAGGCCATGGCCTCCGCCACCGCCCGCTCCCTCTCCACGGCGGCCACGCTGGCGGCAGCGGAGTCGAAGGCGGCGTCGCCTCGGCTCTCGTCCGCCGCCGTCACCTGAGGAGCGGCAGTGGAGGCGGGGGAGCGATACCGGGCGTCGGGCTCGTTCGGGAGGCAGCTCAGCGCCGTCACGACGTCGCTTATGAGGGGGCGGATGGCGGCGTCCTCCTGGAGACACATGGCGGCGACGGCCACCACCTGGTTGAAGCTCTTCCTCGGGAACTCCTCCCTCAGGAGCGGGTCCATCAGCTCCGAGAACCTGTTCGGCTCCTTGAATATCGGGTCAGCCTGATCGGGCCAAATTCCAAATAAACAAATAATGAGAAGAAATGCCTAAAATTGATACAACGGTACCAAAAAAGATTGAATTTTTTTGCTTCCCCTTGATACAATTTTTTATATATAAATTGCAGGAAAATAAAAAAATGTGAGTTACCCATGTGACAAGATTTTGCTGATGGGCCATCCTCCTGGTGTCGACGGCCCGGAGGCCCGTGATGAGCTCCAAAAGGACAACACCGAAGCTGTAGACATCCGATTTGGCTGTCAGCTGGCCGGTCTTCTGATACTCAGGGGCACAATACCCGTAAGTCCCCATCACCCGGGTCGACACGTGTGTCATTTCCCCAATCGGTCCAAGCTTTGCGAGCCCGAAATCTGACAGCTTGGCATTGTACTCCCTGTCGAGCAGAATATTGGATGACTTGAGGTCTCGGTATATAACAGGCGGGTTTGCCTTGTCGTGCAGGTACTCGAGCCCCTTTGCAGCGTGTAATGCGATTTTCATCCTTGTGAACCAAGGCAATGGGGGCTGCCCAGGTCGAAGGTCTGAATGAAATGTGAATGTTGGGAAAATTAGATATTTCATGCCATGATTCCGAAAGGGAAGTGATTAATGAATCATAATCATACCGAGTAGATGATCTTCTAGAGCTCCTAAAGGCATGTATTCGTACACCAAAAGCCTCTGCTCACCATCTGCGCAGTACCCGATCAAGTTCACTAGATTTTGGTGGTGTAGAAGGCTCAGCATTAGAACCTCAACTAGAAATTCCCGGTTCCCCTGAAGTCCGTTTCGGTCGAGTTGCTTAACAGCCACCATCTGAAAATTATCGGGGGAAGTGATTGTTAGCTTTTGGATTAGAGTGAAGAACAAACAGTTTTTTAGCCTTCCCAAAATTCAATCTTGATTTCTCACAGCTCATTAGTCAGATATAAGACGAATGTGGCTAGACAAAATTATAGCAAACAAGATAGCAAAATAATTGTGTTAGAGTTGGAAAGGTACCTGGTTGGTCTTTCCGAGACGGCCTTTATAAACCCGTCCGAATCCACCTTCACCGAGCATATATTCTTGCCTGAAATTCTTTGTGGCGGTTGCTAACTCCCGAAAAGTGAAAGTTTGTGCAGCGATAATGTTGCTGGCAGCTGTTTCGTGGCTGTCGGAGCCCTTGCTATGCGAAGGTTCAATTGCTGTTGGCCTCTTATGGTGTTCTGCACATGAGGTAAAATTAAATAAACTTGTCATTCCTCGAATGTGAAATGTTTTCAAAAAGTAAAGCTAACTATGGATGTTAAATCTGTTGTTTTTGCGATGTTTGTAATCAAATATGACTCGACGAGTTATTTTCTCTTTCCCTTGGAAAACAAACAAGAAAAAGAGAAGATCGAGTGTTTGTTTGTCCTTCACGACATTTATCCAGAAAATAAACATAACCGTGATAAATTGTTTGCCTCGACTCACCATTGGTCGACTGGTAAGAAGGTTGTTGCCGTGAATGGTTGAGAGGTTGCGAAGGCGTTCCCCTGTTCGGATTGGAGGCGAACATGGGCCCGCCTTGTTTTCTGTCTTTACATTTCTTTGAAGCTTTTCTTTCATGACATGAGAAACATGAAAAACAACCCATCCTTTGCAGCCTTTAATATCCCAGGGACATGCTGCCCCTTAGAAAATCAATCTTTTGATGCAAGAACAAAAGAAATTTAGAAAAGGTCTAATCTTTTTTTTCTTCTATAAGCCCCAAGGAAGCGTTTCGAATTTCGATATTATCCCAAAAGTGCCCGGCCTTTCTTTACGAAAACGACGATGATCACGTTTTCTCTTGTATAGAAAGCAGTTATTACAATAATGGATTGCACAGAAATCCACAATCTAAGATTGAACAAAAATTGTCTATGAATTATGTGGAAAGAAGAACAAGGTTGATGAAAATGAAAGGGGTGAAAGAACTGTTGAGACAGGTTCAATGATCAATGTTGTTGCCACACAAAACAGAAATATAGTTAAAATGAAAAAAAAAATGTCATAAAATTTCAGTATTGTTTAGGGCAGTTGCAGCTTATTTTTGTTCCCTTAAATTTTCCCAAATAAAGTGGAAAGAGAAGGAGGAGACAAAATGG